TAGTAGTAGTAGTAATGATAGTAGTAATAGTAAATCGTACATGATGATGATGATGATGATGCATTTCAGTGTGCATGCAAACAACTTGAATCATTTTGTGTCCGTAACAAGGTTTGCCTTGCAAGACAAGCCAAACTCTGCCACGGGACCGCTACGGAACCCTGTTCGAACCTGCATCAAAAGCCCAGCCAAAGCCACCCGAATCCCGAAGCTAAATCCTACAACCCCTAAACCCTATAACCCTAAACCCTATAACCCTAATCCCTATAACCCTAAACCCGGAGGACCCTCGATCGATCCGAGTCGCACTTCTCGCCGTCTGAGCATTTCTGGGGCCCGCCATCGGAGGACCCTGAGGCTCGAGTCGTGGGAGTCGGTTTAGGGTTCAGGGGTTTCGGGGTTTAGGGTTTGGGGTTTAGGGTTTAGGTTTTAGGGTTTAGCTTTAGGGTTTGGGGTTTAGGGTGTGCGGTCTAGGAGTCTAAGGTTTATAGGGTGTTAGGCTCCGGGGTCTAGAATTCCAGGGTGTCGATGTAGGGTTTAACTGTAGGCTGAACCCTGTATGGCGCCCGGGTCTCAGACCCTACACCCAAACCCTAAACCCTAAACCCTAAACCCCTAAACCCTAAACCCTACTCTAGTTTGCTGCTTTGGGCTCGTGGGAAGTCTAAGAGCCCAAACTCACACACGAAGGTTTGTGTTTTTTTCTTAATATAGGGGCCTTAATAAATTCAAACAGGCTTTTGGGCTCCTTCATGGAATAATTATGATAAGGAAGCCTAAGAATAACATTGGTAATTGTTGAAGCATCTACATTAGGTTCCCAAACTCTGAACCTAAACAGTTAAACCTAAACCCTAGGTGTAGTCAGGTCAGCTCGATGCCTTTTGTTGTCCGAACTTCAAAGGGATTCGCGTAGTTTTCTGAGGTAGGGTCTCTTTTTCGGTCCCCAAAAGTCGTGAGGCACCCTGACAAAAAAGGGACCCTCGAAGGGACCCTACTTCAGAGACTTACCCCTATTTAAGTGCTGCAGGGTTAGTTTTCGCCGTAAACCCTAAACCCATGGTATCTCGCTCGTGCTTCTCCTTGGGGAAGCATCTTATTGACCACGGCAGCCGGAAAGCTGCAGATTCCAAGTCCAAAGCGCGAAACCGTACCAGTACGGTCCAGATCTTAAGAACCCAGGCCATACCGCTGCCGGAGTGGATACATCCCCCAGGGTTTAAGGGTTCAGGGTTCAGGGTTTAGGGCGCATGGCTTGGTGTTTTGGTGTACCTGTCGAAAAATTTGACTGCAAGGACTTCCCTAACCCCCCAGGTACCTACTATATAGGGTACTAGAGCCCCTAGGGCCCAGTAGGCACCTGGAGGGTTAGGGCTACCTGTAGCCGAAAAAACCTACCTTTTTAGAGTTCCCCATTATAGTTTCTATATATATATATATATATATATATAAGTCCTTAAACAGGTAGGTTTTCGGGGCCACAGGTAGTAGTCAGAAGCCCTTGCAGCGCCAGCCTCAAGCTCGGAAGGTGGATCACCCGAGAGCTGGGTTGTCGGATGAGTTGGGCCCTCAGAGCCCCGCCGTCTCTGCCTGGAGCGGATTTGGGTGGATAGAGGGCTTAACGGTTTTGGGCGGGATAAGAGTTGATGGGTTCTGGTTTTAGCTGATCTCCTTGGTTTGTTCTTGTGGGAACTATGGCCTTCGAGTCGATGATCAAATACATGGCATACCATGGCATGCAAGGCCGTGAATCCAAGACCAGGGCTTGTGGTTCAGGGCTTAGCAGGGTACACTGGCTATATCCCAAACCCGAAAAGGTGTCATGGACGCGGGAAGTTGGCGAAGAGGTCTATGGATTGATGGACGGGGACTGAGGGAGGGAGGGAGTTGTCATGGCTCTCCACCCACCTGCCTATTTACCTACTTCCCTGCCTACATCCGCGCATCCATACACAGACGCACAGACATGCTCACACACATACAAACACACACACACACACAAACGCAGATATACATATACATATATACGTGCACATACACACACACACACGTACATGCACATACAACTTGCATGCCGCATGTGCGCCATGCAGTCAACTGGTTCGGCCTCATACGATGTACCTGCAACAGGCTCTAAGTTCACGGACGGCGATCTTGAGCTTGGTATGTGCTTGAAGACTTAACACAAATGTTCGACTTCAACATGTCCGACTCCATGGTAGACTTCGGCCCCAAAGCACCTTCTAGGGACTACTTACCCTAAATATTTAGGGAACCTCAAGAACACCTATAGAAGCCCTATAGAACTCTTGTAAATCCCTTCCCTTATAGTTCCCTTGAACGGAACTATAAGCGCTCCTCTTTAGTTCCCCTTAAAGGGACTATAAGGGTTCCTATTACATGGACCCTTCTATACCCTAAAAGCCTTAAACCCTGATGGTACATAACTTTATGGAACCCTTTAACTCCCTTAAACTGTACCCATGAAAGGAACCCTACAGTAAACCCCAAAACAGATGGAATCCGGAATTCAGGACAATTGGTGTTGGGTTTCCCTATAGTTTCCTCGTAGTCTTAAAGACTTCAGCCCTAAACCCTAAACCCTAGACCCTAAACCCCAAAACCCTAAGGACTGTGGCTATTGGGTTTCCAACCTTTGGGGCTTCCACTGTATTTGGGTAGTTCTCTAAATTAGGGTCCCTTTTAAGGTCCTTTTTTATTTAGAGAACTACCCATATACAGAACCCTAAACCCCTAAACCCCTAAACCCCTAAACCCCTAAACCCCTAAACCCCTAAACCCCTAAACCCCTAAACCCCTAAACCCTAAACCCCTAAACCCTAAACCCCTAAGCTCCTTAACCCTAAACCCCTAAACCCTAAAGCCTTAAACATGGACCCCTAGGACTTCCTGTTTGTGCCGTGAGGTCCTCGAGTCGTTTCTTCCCACGCAGCAAGAGCCGAACGAGTGCGCAGGCAGGCTGCTCCCGAGGGGTTTAGGGTTTAGGGTTTAGGGTTTCGGGTTTAGGGTTTAGGGTTTAGGGCCCTTTAAACTTTTTGGTATATTAAACCCCTACTAAAAAGAAAAGTTTAAACTTTTTTGGGCCAGGGTACTGGGCTTCAAGGATAGGGCTTTGGGTTTAGGGTTCCGTAGATGCGAATAAGGCTTGGGGTCTAGGGTTCCGTAGTTCTATAATTCAGAAGATGAGAACATAAGTGTTGTTTAAGGGTTGTTCCATATAAAGGGTTTAGGGTTTTAGGGTTCATAACGAGGAATAGAAATCCTTTACAGGGCCTTTCTGGTTCTATAGGTCTTCTGATATATCAGGGCCTTGATATTTGGAATGTTATTTTGGGAGATGGCCCTAGACCCTAAGCCCTAAACCCTAAGCCCTTGACCCTAACCCTAAGCTCCAGTTGCTGTTGGAGAGGGGGCGTGGCATGTTATGCACGAGGGTGCTAAGGCTACAGGGCGATGAGTCTTGGGGGTATCAGGGAGTGGAGCTTAGGGTCGTAGAGTCTAGGGTTTAGGGTTTAGGATCATAGGGTTTAGGGTTTTAAGTTTAGGGTTTTAGGGTTATCGGGTTTGGGTTTAGGGTTGTAGGGTTATGGGGTTTGAAGGGTTTAGGGTTGTAGGGTTTAAAGGGTTATAGGGTTTCTTATAGGGTTAGGGTTATAGGGTTTAGGGTTAATAGGGTTAGGGTCTAGGATTAAGGGGATTCGGGTAATCATGAGGGTTCTATAGACTTCACTTCGGCCCCGAGTAGCTAACCTTTTTGTTTAGCGTTCCTTTCCTTCTCTGAGTCCTGGAATAGTTAGGTTATTTGGGGGTCAAGGTAGGCCCCAGATCATACCGCAGTCTATCATGGTCTGTATCATCCCTAGACCCTAAACCCTAAACCCAAACCGTTAAAAACCCTAAACCCTAAACCCAAACCCTTAAAAACCCTAAACCCTAAACCCAAACCCTTATAAACCCTAAGCGCTAAACCGCTTTCATTTCAGTGTTTCGGAAAGGGTGGAGCCCCCAAGCCTCAACGAGCCGATCCGTGAGCCACACAAGGAACATCGGGGATTCCACCAGGCCCACTTCGGGATTTCGAGTTGAGGGCTGAGTCTTTCGGGTTTTAGGGTTTGGGGTTTAGGGTGTAGCGTTTAGGGTTTAGGTTTAGGGTGGATGTGCGGCTTAGGTGTCCAGCACTTTTCGAGCTTTTGGGGCTTTCCAAGCAGCAAGGATCCTACTCCCTAGATTGGAGAGTTATGTATACCTAATATCTATATCGGTATCTATATATATATATATATATCTATATATATATATATATATGCGTATCTCTCTATCTATCGAACTACCTATCTATCTATCTATCTATCTATCTGTCAGTCTGTCTATCTATCTATCTATCTATCTATCTATCGATCTATCGATCTGTCGATCTATCGATCTATCGATCTATCGATCTATCTATCTATCTATCTATCTATCTATCTGTCGACCTATCTATCTATCTATCTATCTATCTATCTATCTATCTATGTATCTATCTATCTATCTATCTATCTGTCTATCTATATATATATATATATGCACGCGCACACACACACACACAGAGCCCTGAACTTTCATGGGCTCTAAACCCTACCTTAACCCCAAATAGCCTACCTTGCAAAAAGACTTATATACGGAAATCACATTAAGGAATCTCAAAAGGGTAGGTTTCTCTAAGCCTTATATCTTAAACCCTAAACTCCAAGCCGTCTGATTGACTTCAGGCCTCTTCCCATGCATCGCCGAAAAGCACGAAGAATCGAGAAGGCACTTTCGCACGTGTGTTCACAGCATTTTTGGAGTTTGATGCTTAAAGTTTCCCCTCACCCTAGGCTTTTTCGGAGTCAACACTCGGTGTTTAGGGTTTAGGGTTTAGGGAAGCCAGGAAATGTGGGTTTCACTTCAGGGCTTCTATGGTACCGAACTGCATCTGAGCAGTTCATGAGGCATTGCTACCGGGCTCTTGAAAACTTTTCACAGTGCTATGCAATCTTGCCGGAAAGATGTGCTGTTCAAAGTTAGGATCCTTGAAGGATCTCCGCCCTTAACCCTAAACCCTAAACCCTGAACCCTAAACCCTAAACCCGGGAGTGCATAGATAGTAGAAGCGGGGCTGGGGCAGTTGTAGGCACTATGACGAGCCCAACCATGCTGCCAGCGCTCTAGTCATGGTGATGATGCTGGTATTAGGGTTTAGGGTTTAGGGGTTTAGGGTTTAGGGTTTAGGGATCAGGGTTCAGGGTTCAGGGTTTAGGGTTTAGGGCCATACCGTATTGCTTGAGGTTGTAAGGTCTCCCTTAGTTAGTCCTTTGTGGTTGTTCTGAAAATGACCGGGTCACCTTCGACCTTCTAGGCTAGTATAGTAGTTAGCCTAAACAGAAAAGTGTAACAACCCGACAAAAATGGCAGAAGTATCTTGGAGAACTGCTATGGGGCTCTTGAGACTTGGTCATCGTTTGCCCTTGCTAGTCCCCGGAGCTTCTTGGAGTTGTTTTTTGTTCTCATTAGGGTGTCCTTATGGGGTTCGAAAGCATGTAAAGTTCAGTGTAGGGTGCTAGGGTTTAGGGTTTAGGGTGCTAGGGTTTACATAGGGTGCTAGGG